AACAACTTCTTAATAACTTTTGCATGCTTATTATAAACAGACACTTTTGACAATTTAGTTAATTAATTATAATACTTTGATATATTTCAAAACTCTAATTTTTAATAATTTTTAATTGTAAGTATAATACGCAATTCAGCTCATGGCTGCAACGTATTTACCATTTCTAAATAAAGTATAAAGTATAAAGTATAAGTATATAAAAATTAAAAGAAAATTCAGTGCGAGTAACAAATGCACTTAACTAGGTTTTTGCAAGAAAAACACGAAAATTGTTCAACGATGGTCAACCATTGAACTATAAGTAAACTGAAAGGCTAACTCCTATGATGAAGGCCTATTATTCGTTAAAGCCCGCGCGCGGGAAAATCAGCTTTCAAAAGGACTAATGAGAGTTTCGAGGAGTGAAAAAATTTCGGTCAAAAGTTTGTTTTCGAGCAAAAATGTGCAAGAAAAACACTTTTTTCATGGGAATACAACGATGATTAGGATTCAAACCAGGTTTTCCGATTAGTTCCAACTGTTTTACATCTCTCTGCAGCAAAAAGTAAGGAGTTTTGCTTTTATATTATGAAAAAATGACGAAAGTTTGGACGTGCCGAAGGAAACCACGCTCTTCAACTCAAAAAAATATATTATAAAACATTTTGACAGTCCATAAATAAATTGGCGTTTTTCAAGTGATGTTAGTTTCGTCATCGCCCTTCTTGTTGGCCACTATGAGCACTTTGAATATGGCAATATTTTTGTGAATTTTTAAATGCTTTTTTTCGACCTTAAAACGTTCAATCTTCTTTAAACTTTGCATACAGATGTATTTTGCATGGGTTTAAATAATTCATGAGGTATGACGTCTTAGTTTTATCTTAAACTTTCAAAAACTCAGAAAAACCAGCATAACAAGCACGGTTTTTCTGACCGGTTATGCTTATGGTCGTGTTTTTTCGTGTTTTTTTTTGCTAATTCGTGATTTGTTTGATTTGCGAATATTAAATTCGTTTATCATACTACTGATATAAATTAAATTTGGTGGTATAACTAATATTTGGGGCAAGAGTTTAGTGATAAAAAATGTGCATTTTTTGAAAAAAATGTTTGAAAAGGACTGGGGCTACCTGCAGAAAACACTCATGCCCGGCTTCAAAGATGGCGGCGAACTTATCGTTCCAGTTTATTTATAGTTCAATGTGGTCAACCTCATGATTAAGAACAGAGAAAAACCTCTTAACTTTATGCTTATAAGCAGACGGGGAGTAATCGTTAAACACTTTCAGGTCATTTGCTAAAGAATTGAAAAGTAAAACACCACTGTATGAGAGTTTGGTCTTGGAAAGATTAGATTTGACAGATGGTATTTTGAGATCAGTAACAGAGGAGCGAGTATGTACATCGTGCGATGCCCCTGAGAAACAAAACAACTCGCGCAGATCACTAGGATCTAGATAAGCGTCGCAAGGTGATTACAACGAGTAAAATTTTTCGCATCTTAATTAAGTTGTAGATGGGAATACATTCCAGTTTGCGGAACAGATCAACAGAAGGAGTTGACATACTCTCGTCCAAAGCCAATCTGGTTGCTCTTTTTTGAAGTTTAAGCAAAGGGTCGATAAGCTCATGGCGTGCAAATTCTACATTTCAGTGGAAGGGCTGGACAAATACGCTTAAACAGATAAAGTCTGGAATTAAGGTATTTTTATATCTTATCCACTTGATTGTCCCAGGAGAGATTTTTATCGAGTAAGATACCTAAACGTTTGCCAGAAGTAATTTCTTCAATCCAAAAATCCTCATAAAGTATGCTATCATAATCAAGCAGTGAATACTTACGCTTTGAATAAATTTTCATGAATTTGGTTTTGCTAAAATTTAAAGCCATATGGTTGCTTCTTGCCCAATTAAAGGTAATACACAAATCAGTCGACAAAGAAGCTTTGATATCAGGTAGCTCACGGCCATGGGCTAAAAGAGTCGAGTCATCCACAAAAAGAGAATGATGAGTGGTAGTAAGAAAAGATGGAAGATCATTGATAAATATTAAGAATAGTAACGGGCCAAGAATGGAACCTTGAGGGACCCCAGTAATGATTGTTAAAGGTTCTGAAAGGACTTCGTTAATTTGTACCTGTTGAGTTCGTCCTTCAAGATACAAAGCAACCATTTTAGGGTTAGGTCAGTAGCCCCGTACGCGTGGATTTTTGGGAGCAAAATATTATGATCCACTAAATCGAAGGCTTTGGAAAAGTCAAGTTTAAAAACACCGTTAATTTCTCCATTATCAATATTGTTAACAAGGTATTCGTAAATCATGTTTAATGACGTTTCACACGAGTGGCCAGGTCTGAACCCATGTTGGTAATCGGATAGAATTTCATGCTCAGTTCAATATAAAAGATATGAATTAAACACATGTTTTTCAAGGATTTTTGAGAGAATAACCAGGATAGAAATTGGTCTAAAGTTGCCTCTTTCACTCTTTTCGCCAGATTTGTGTATGATGCTTAAGTTGCATATGGTGGTATCAAGATAATATAGAATTCTAAACAGCATCTATAGATTTTCCATTCTATTAAATGCCTTTTCTTTCATTACAGGCCTAAAAAATAAAGCTATGTTTCAGTCATGGTTAGTATCAGGGTTCCCATGGTCCTTGAAAAGCCTGGAAAGTCTTTGAAAATTGATAAGCTCCTTGCAAGGCCGGGAATTTTCTTTCAATTTCAATAAAAATCAAGTATGATAGTCCAAAACAATTGTACTGTATTAAGAATAATAGTACATGACATTGTTGCTTTCCTCAAGTTTAGCAGTAAAGTTTTTCCAGTTCCTAGGTGTGAACCCTGTAATATTTATATCACATGTCGTTATTATACACAGCTGATTCGTAAAGAAAATACCAAAACGAACAAAATATCACATATTACGAAACATTTTCAGTGGCAGTGTTACTGTTTTACGATTACATAGTTAGGAAAATAACACAAAAATACTATAATACTATTTATATGGCCACGCCACTAACACACAATGTTCTAAACTCAAATGCCCTTTTTATCTATGAAAAAAAAAACGAGTATTAAACCGTTATTTCTTACGGTGTAGAATATTGTCGTCAGTAATTTGCACCATGATAAGGAGAAAGTCCAGAAGTACTTTAGTATTATAATCATCATCATTATTAAACTCGTAGACAGCATAAACCACAACTCGATCGGATATGTAAGCGTAACAGGCAGCAATTTTGCTACAAATTAATCATAAGACACTCTTCTTTCATAAGAAGCACAAATAATCATGATAGCGTTACGAAAACGGCTCATACTTACAAAATATATTTAAAAAGTAACTCATTTTATATGCATGCACCCGGCACTGACACACGTATATTAAGAATTGTTTATTCGCAAACGAATTTCCGACAATCGACAATGGAAAATTGTTGTATACATCACTGATCATGCATTGTATTACACAATACTCGTACTATCAATTAATTTTGTACAATGAAAACACTAGCCTCGCCTCAGTCATCATGGTATTACAAACTAATACCATGGTTTTTAAGAATATAGTGATTACTCGGGACGCCTTCGGGCTTCGCCCTCAGGCTTTCCCTCGGGACTTTCACAAACCTCCCTCGGTTTGCGGGAGATTTAATCACTATATTCTTAAAAACCACGGTATTACTTATAATAATCCCTAATAACGTTACAGAATAAATTATAATCACATATGTTCCTAATATCAGCAGGTAGTTTATTAAATGTAATGGCTGCTGAATATTTAAAGGTCCCTGTTTCTCTCGCTACTTCACTAACTGGAGCACAGGAAGATCGTAGAACTATGAGCGTATCAGAACAATAACTACCAACACTAGCATAAAATCAACAGACAACAAAATATTGAAATTTGAAACACTGTGCTGGAAACCTGTTGATTTAAATTTGGAAAAGCGAGATCGTTCGTGACATTTTAAGCGATTAAAGGCATTCTTTCAGATTATATAGCACAATTATTTCATACTTGTTAAAATAGTGGGTATTTGCATTGCGCAATAATCACTTAAAATTAAAATTGTTTCAACCAAAACAAAAAACGAATTTCTTGAAAAATACCTTTTTCGTACAGAGGAGCGTACATACTTGCTTATTTTCCTATAAGAAATTCAACCAGTTTGAAAGGTGCCCACAATATTAAATGATCACGTCTATACTGTTATATGTCTGTATAGCAAATCAATTATTTTTTATTTGTAAATAGATAATTTAGTTTTATTACTTGTGTAAATAATTCTGTTTGTTAATTTTGAAATTTCTATACGGCCCTTTGAAAATCATAGCTGTGAAAGGTTACCGTGTCTGAAGATATTTAATACTAATAATATGGATAGTTTCTTAAAACTCCCATAACTGTACGTTAAGCTACCGATACTAAAGGTTTACGGCGCCTTTAAACGATCAAATTGAGACACACATGAGAGGACCTAAATCGCTAAACCTGCCAGGTGACAAAAAAATTATCGTGTGCGGCGAGCAAACGACAAGCGCACCTGAATAGGAAAATTTGCGCATGCGTGCAACTTCCAGAATTTAAAACAACATGGCGGATCAAAATCACGAGCTCGTGTCTTGTTTTTAGTTCTGCAAGTTGCACACATGCGCAAATTTTCTTATTCATGCGCGCTTGTCGTTTGCTCGTCGCAAACGAGAATTTTTTGTCATGAATGACGAAAAATATCAAACATGTTTGATATTTGGTCTACATGTCACGAATGACGAAAATGCCGTAAATGTTCCCCGCACACGAGGAAATTTTGTCGTTCCAACTTGTCACGAATAACAAGTACGCGCGACAAGTGCGCTCCTGTGGGGCGGGCTTAAGCTTTGCATAAAAAATTACGGCAAACGGCAAGGCGGAATTTTCTTGGCACAAGTTTTCTTCGATTTCTGCGTGTCATATTTTCTTTCATAATGACACAGTAATAGCTAAACATTCTAGTTTTAAAAACAACAACCATATTTACATTTTATTGCTTTATAGCTAGCGCAAAATTTTTCTTTGACTGACGTTTGTCATTTGTCGCTGAACGCGAAGCTTAAGCTCTCAATTATCGATTTCAAATACACGATGGAAAAGGTATTTTACTTGGTCACAAAATGACAGATGAAACATGAAATTTCAGTAAGCTACTTAAGAGCTTATGCGAGGATTTAGAAAATTGGGAAACATGGGAAAGATTTGAAGCTTTATTTTTTAGTGACGGTCGAAATTTCAACGAACAACAAAGAGCGAGGAACATTGAGCGCGCCATTTACGGCAGCAGCGGTAATGATGTGTGAGACGACTATTAACTGTTCGACTTGTCAAAAATAACATACGTGAGCAAGTTGTTTTGTTGTTTACAGACATTGAAGCACGTGAACAGAACGGAATAATGGAACGGTGTTTTTTGTATCTCAAACGAAATCACATCGCACGGGATTACAAATCGAAGTATATGTGCAAATGTTTGTTCGGGAAAACATCACGATAGCCTGTGTAATAATTCGAGACAGCCCTTAGAAAAAGGTTCAAGGCAATCCTTAGCAACGAGACAAGAATTGCTCCAAATTCCCAGCAGCAATCAGGAAATATGCGAGATAATCTTGCCAAAGAACAAACAACACCATCTGGGACTACGACACAATTAACGTACATGAAAAAGACCATAAATTACCACGTTCGCTCACAAGATTCAGTCTTGTTACAAACGGCCAAAGCGGAAATAAAAACCCAAAGACTTACAATTATTATTTAGCTTGTACTTTCGGACACCTCCATAAGGAACGAAATCATTGTATGCTCTGTAATTTCCCTTCATCCCGGATCCACATTCCCTGTTTGCAAGGAAGGAAATCTCGCCAGCAAACAGCACTCTGTCCCACACATTGACGTCAATAAGGTAACCATCAAATGCGTCTCTTAATTGAAACCCTCCACCAAGGCTGTCTTGGTCTTGCCCAATAATCCATATACCAAATGGCAAAATTGATCTTCCTGGCGTATACCCAATCAAGCTCTTTATAAGCGCACCGTCCTTGTAAGCTTGCACAGCACCATCACTACTCTGCCATGTGATGCAGACATGATGCCATTTGCCATCGCTTACCGAAATTCCCGATCTATAAAATACATTAATAAAATGATGTATTCAGTGAAGGCATAGAAAAGGAAAAGGTTTCTCTAAAATTTCGCTTTCCTGAGGCCAAACAACAATGAAAAAAGTAGCTTTTTCTAGTAAATGAAGTGCTTTTGACAAAAGAAAATATAAACAAAGAAATAAATCCATCAATAACAAATATAAGAAAACATACAAACAAACAAACAAACAAACAAACAAACATATGAATGAACGAACGAACGAACGAACGAACGAACGAACGAACGAACGAACGAACGAACGAACGAACGAACGAACGAACGAACGAACGAACGAACAAAACCAAACATAAACGTACAATAAAGCAAACAAACAAAGTAAACAAATAAACAAAGACGGTCAGACGGACAGACAGACAAGCGGACAGACGGACCGACACAACGACGAACGGACAGATTTTTATTTGAATTCGGATGACATATAATAAGGGTTCAAGAATTGAACCCTGAGACACACCACAATGAATGGTACGTCCGGCGGATAGAGCGTCATTTACATAACATTTTTGTGTCCGATCTTGTAAATAGGATTGAAACCAGTATAAATTATTTGTATCAACCCTGCAAGTGTGGAGTTTCTCGAGTAATCTCTCGTGACTTATTGTATCAAATGCATTCGCTAGATCAATATAGACAATCGCAGTAAGCTTTCCCTGATCCATATTTGCAAGCCATTCAATAGTGTCATCTATTAGTGCAGTCATAGTAGAGTGGCACTTCTTAACGCCTAATTTATTCTTGTGTAACAGGTGGTTTTCATTGAAATAGGTATAAATCTGAACAAAAACAATACGCTCGGAAACCTTAGAAATCACACTTAAAACCGAAATTGGTCTGTAATTCCCTACATTATCTTTTGCGTCACCTTTGTATATAGGGGCTAATTTCCAGTCATCAAGGAATACTGCTGTCTGTATACATAAATTGAAAATATCGCACAATGATTTCGAAACTATAGGTGCAGAGAGTTTGAGTAATTTACACGGAATTTGGTCTAGACCAGATATTGAGGAGATTAATTTAACAACTTCATCCGAAGTAGTTGGGTGTAATATAAACATCGTTCCAGTGGCAGCTGTTTGCACATATTGATGAGAAGCTTTGACATTGGTGGATTGTGGTACGTTGTACAAAATATTGTTTTAAACATTCAACTACTTCACTGTTGTTTGTCACTACTTTTTTGTTTATTAAAAGAGAAGAAATATTTTGAGATTTCAAACTTTGGGACTTTAACTCATTTATTGTATTCCAAATTTACTTGGAATTTCCCTTGCTGGCTGCAAATAACCGGTGATAGTAATCTCTTTTGCTCCTTTCAGCATATTAATACACTTATTTCGGGCAAGTTTAAAGTGAAGCCAATAATCTGTATCATTAGAAATCACCGTTTTTCCTTTTACTTTGTCTCGATTCATCAAAACTGTTTTTATTTCAGGAGTAATCCAATGATTGTTTTTATTTGATTCGTAGTCGCTTGCTTTTGAATGGTGCATGTTTATCTATACTACAGTCATGAATATTTTCTTCCATAAACCAGAATCACATTTAAAAGACAATCTAAATTTGACCCGGGAAAATCACTAAGGTCATCTATAAAGTTATCAACATTAATAGTTTTCATACTTCTTATATTGACCACTTTTTGTATATATTTGTTTACAATAGGCTCTATAGCTACTTTCCGTATGGCATAAGTAAGATCATGGTCACTTATTCCTAAGTAACACCTGACGCAGCCACCTTACTTGGACCATTTGTGTAAACTACATCAACTAATGTTCTCGTTCTTGCAGTAAATCTTGTAGGTTCGTCGATAAGTTGCTGAAGCTGATAAATTTGTGCAAATAAATTTAAAAGCGAAGTTGCCCTTTCTGACCTGTTACCTAACACGTCACAGTTTAGATCACCGAATATAAATATGTCTTTTGACTCGTGTTCAAGCTGTTTAATTATAGTCATCGATCATTTGGTCAAAGAATAAATCAGGCGAAAAATCAGACGATGTCGAACTCTATAATTGATATCTTAATGTGGAAGAGGATTCTCATTATAGAGTTTGCCACATTCAGACAGAATTTATCTTGCATCTCTTGAGGCAAATACTGTACATTTGGGATTTTTGCACCAATTAAATGTTCATAAAGGTCTTCATCATCCTGAAGCGCGTTTAAGAATGCAACGTTCTCCAGTGGTAATATATCATATAGCATGTCCCACATCTCGTTTCGTGGTCTTTTAAGTACACAACACTCCATAATTAAATGCTTGTTTATGTCTACGATGTCTTTGTAGCAAAGTTGGCAGGTGTAACTATAAGGAGTTTCTTGGACACACTTCATAAAAATGTCTGGTACATTACCACAAACAATATTAACGAGATTCGCCACAGCAATTCTGTTAAAGGGGTTACGCTTTGCGGTTTCACATAGAGTAAAGGGCATTATATTTTGGTGAATGTTTTTGTAGTGACAAAGTTCAGGTTTGTCGTTCATTCCTAATTTCCATTTAGACAATTGATGTCCACCAATTTTGTCTAATACTATTTTGCGCCATTCTGCTTTCCTAGGAAAGTATTGCTCGTTAATATATGTTTCAAGAAATTCTTGAAGATTGTATTTTTGTAGTAAACGCATCACGTCTGGTATAAACCCCATAACTCTCTCCTCGCCTTGTCTGTACCTGAAGGAGAACAACCGGTTGATGAACACTTGCTTCGTTGTTGTGCCCGGACCTAGCATACACAAATCTACCAAAATAGATTAACTTTGCCTTGTCAATATAGGCTTACGCGTATATAGCCGTACGCGTATTTGGGCCCAAACCTTGAATAATATTGGAAGCGTATCGTTGTGCGCGTTCTAGATTGTTAAGTTCTGTAGTACCTAATGTATTCCATAGCTCGCAACCGTACAAACATGTGGGAATCCCATTTGTTTTCCATAAGCCAGCTCCGCACATCGGATTCAGCCTCCCACTCCTGGCACCAAGGTTCATCAAGCTGTGTACAGTTTCTTTAGCCTTTTTGCACACATTCTTAGTTCTATCATTACCATTGAAGTCGCCAGATAATTCGATCTCCACATGTGTCCAGCTACGCTTTTCTTCTACTTTAGCATTGTATAACTTCCAGTTCCTGGTTACATTATTCTTGTTGAATGTCCTGGTGGTTTCTCCAAATGTAACTGCAATGGTTTTGCTTGTGTTAAAGTCGAATCGCCAACGACAGCTGTAGGATTCCAGAGTATCAAGCTTTTCTTGTAATCTTTTGACCCTTGTCGAAAGAATTGTTATGTCATCAGCCACCACAACTGGATTACAGGGAATAGAGTTCACTGTTAGCATGCTACAATGTTTGGTGAGAAGTTGCGGGATGTCATTATTAAAACATAGAAATAACCAAGGTGATAATACTCCCTCCTTGGCGCACACCTTGCTGTACAGGAAATTTCTCTGATATCAGACCATTCGCTCGAACTCTGCTTGTTTGTCTCTTATACCAATTACGCAGAAGTCGCCACGATTTATCATTCATACCATTATTGTACAATTTGAAAAACAGTCCGTCAATCCATAGCGTATCAAATGATTTGGCAGAGTCCAGGAAGCAACACTAAACTTTGCTCCCACGTTCTACATTGTGCGCAACTGCTTCCTGGAGAACAAAACTTGCATTTATGCAAGAATTATTTTTTTGATAAGCCAACTTCAATGGATCCGGTACGCCCCAGGTTTCAAAGACAGGTAACCGACGTTGCAATACGAGTCGTTCAAAAATTTTCCCAATAACATTTAAGAGAGTTATTCCTCTATAGTGATCTTTGTTCAATCGATTTTTTCCCATCTTTAAATAATGATATTATGTCTCCAAGAACAAAGCTATCAGAGACTATTTCAAATTCTCTGAGTGCGTTAAAGATTCTAGTCAATTTAGGTGCGAAGGTGATTCCTGCATGTTTTATGTGTTCATGCGTTAAATGCCTTTCCATTTGGCAACTTGGAACAAATGTCTAGCACTTCATGTTCTGTAAATGCATTGTCTAACGGATCATTTTCTGCATTAAAACTTTCACTCTCATACTCTGTTATCTTTGCCTCCACAAACCTTCGAAATTCGTCATCGTACTTAGGTTTTGTTTTAGGTGTCAACAAATCACTGTCGTGCTTTTTCCACACAGACAGAACTTCTTCTGGATCGTTATATTAAGGTTCTGTCCACCTCTAGCCCTTGAATGCTTACTTCGTTTTTCTTACGAATACTCGAGGTGATTTTAAAGAATGTGCTACGGTCAATCTCGTAATGCTTTTCTAACGATTCAAGTTGTTTTTGTTCTTCTAAATATATCTTTTTTCTCAGTTCTTTCCTAAATAAACGTTTCGCTTCTTTGTATTCTCTATAGTAAATGTCCTCACGATCTTGTGATTTTCCATTCTGTAACCATCTTTTTCTACATTCTCTGCTTTTCTTATGAAACTCGTTTAAACCCTCTTTCCTGTAAGGGCGCCGGTTTTTCCTGAATTTCTTTCTTGGAATGCTTTCTTGTGCTGCTGAGTGCAACAAATTTGTTACACTTGCAATCTCAGCCTCTATTGTGTCAATGTTGTATGGAACACTGTCTTCGCCATTATTCTCTAATGATTCCAATCTCCTCTTAACTGAATTCTGGTTTCGGATTTTAACAGTTTCATTCAGTAATGTCTTCCATGACAAAGACGTGTGAGCTGTCTTTGATCTTGTGCTCAGGAGTGGTAACTGTACATCCCACGAACAAATTACTGGTAGATGATATGATAGATTTCTACAGTTATCGCTTTCGACATGACACCATTTAATTAAAGGTAAGTGTTCTTTGTTTACGAAAATATGATCAATAGTTGACAGAGTTGAGCCTTGATTACTGTGGAATGTCTCAATTGGCCCATTACACAATTCTTGAGAGTTGACCGAAATGAATTGAAACTGATCAAGTAAAGAAATCAGGATATGTCCTCTGTTATTCACCTCCTTAAAACTTCTAGGACCACCATGATTACCAGTGTCTAAACAAGTCATTAGTTCATACACGTCGTCAGCAAGCCTATCTTCCAGGCTAGAGTAAGAACTTATGCCTTTCGGCTTTCTCCTTTGGTAAAATTCCTCATTAGGAAAACCCTTGATATATTTGCACTTTTCGTAAAGTTGCAATTCCATATTTGTCAGTTATTCAACGTCTATATCTTCGAGTAACTTTTCGACCAGAACTTCTCTTGGCAAACTCTGACATTCAGTTATTAATGCTGACAAGTTGGTCATTTTAGCCACCGCCATTTTGAATTTGAGAGTTGTGTCAAAATTTAACAAAAGGCAGAAGTCTTTGGGCCAACGTGACCAAATATCACATAGATAAACTCTAGAACCAATATTGAGTTTGTTATAAAGTTAAAAGTGTTTCTTCCTATCTTCTAAAAGCTTTAAAATTCGAAAAAGTTAAAAATTTGATAGAGCTAAAATTTTTGCATCCGCCATCTTGGATGCTTCCAGTTAGATAGATAGATAGATAGATAAATAGATTGATTGATTGATAGATAGATAGATAGATAGATAGATAGATAGATAGATAGATAGATAGATAGATGGATTGATTGATTGATTGAAATCTTTATTTAAACACGGTGGTTTTATCAAATGGAATAAATAATAACTATTTACAATTTGTTCTTCCTAAAAGCCGTGTATAATTTATGATATACGTACATTTTTACATTTTTTTTGGAATTTTTGAAAGAAAAGAGACTATTTACAATTATTCATAGAATAATAACTGACTATGTTGGTGCAGATAGCAGATGTTCTAATCTTTTTATGAACCTTTTTAATGAAGGTTCATGTTTAAGTTCGTCTGGTAAAGAATTCCATAGCTTTGCTCCAGTGAAAGCAAAACTTGAATTATAATAATCTGTTCGATTTACAGGAAGCTCGAAGTTTAATTTGGATTGACGAAGGCTATAATCATTTAAGCTACTATGAAATGTAAACATTTCCGTTAAATATTCTGGTGTAAGACCATGTACTATTTTATACATCATAATAGCTTTTTGTTTTTCTCGCATTTCTTTTATATTCATCCAGTTTAATTCCGCCAAAATCAACGAAGATGATTTTAATAAGGATGCTCCCGTAATTATGCGCGCCGTTCTGTTTTGAAGAACTTGCAATTGTTTTTCCAATGTCTCACTTATATTGTCCCAAACAATTGAACAGTAAATAAAATACGGTTCAATTAATGCTCTATACAGAGACACAAGATTTTTCCGACTAAAGAGTTTCTTCACTTTACGGAGGGCTGCAATATTACGGGATACCTTTAAACGGATGCTCTGGATGTGTATTTCCCATGTTAAGTTCTCGTCAATATCGACACCTAAACACTTTACAGATCTAACTTTACTTAATGTCCCATTATCAGCCGATAATACTATTGAATCGTCAAGCGCCGATAATTTTTGTCGTGAGCCAATTAGTATAAAATCTGTTTTTAGGACATTTAGCGTCAATTTATTAGAACAAAGCCATTGAAATATGTTGTTTAGATCACTTGTCATTTGCTCTTGAATTGATTTAATGTTACAACCTGTAAAGGTCATATTTGTGTCGTCGGCAAATAGTCTGGCAATACTATGGTCCAGGCATTTCGGTAAATCATTTATATATAACAAGAATAAGACTGGACCAAGAATGGAGCCCTGTGGTACTCCACATTTGATGAAGTCCTTGTTAGAATAGACTCCATTTACATGGCAGACCTGTTGCCTATCATTCAAATATGATCTAAACCACAATAAACTTTGATCATCGACACCATAGCATGCTAATTTCATCAATAAAATTTCATGGTCAATGATATCAAATGCTTTTTTTAAATCTAAGAATATGACACCATTAACCATTCCCCTATCAATGTTGAAACACCACTGGTTTGACATATCAAGTAGTGCGGTCAACGTTGAATGGAGTGAACGAAAACCTGATTGTCTGGTATCGATGAGATCATATTCAGTTAAATAACTGTAGAATTGATCATACATTAATCGTTCGAATAGCCGAGCTATAGTAGATAAGACTGAAATTGGCCTATAATTATTTGCATCAGCTCTT